AGGGTTTAGGGTTTAGGGTTTAGGGTTTAGGGTTTACCAGGGCTGTAGCGAGGGTTTGTAGCCCCACATCCGATATATCCGAAGCCTCAACAGAAACTTTATGTAAACACCAACTATGGAGACGCTCAGCAGGCTGCTGCCTCACATCTCTTCTCTTCTTGCGCTGGGGGCCCCCAGGGTACTGGGGGGCCCCCAGGGGCCTCTGCTGAGGCCCCTGAACCGCATGCATCCAGAGCCTCGTGCAGAAAAGCATCAGACACACCGTGGAGCCTGATACACACCACACAAACCCTAAACCCTAAACCCTAAACCCTAAACCCTAAATTCTACGCCCTATGCACTTCTGTCTCCAACCCTAAACCCTAACCCCTAGATTTCAAACCCTAATAAACCCTACACCCACCCCTTTAAACCCTACCCCCCCAACCCCCAAACCCTAAACCCTAAACCCTAAACCCTAAACCCTAAACCCTAATTTCTAACCCATTGAGCTCCAGCTCCTGCAGGCTAGAGGAGAGAGACCTGGCGAGGACCATACAATCAATGTCAGAGAGGACGGCGAAGGGGAGGCCGCAGCTGCGGCTTAGACTCAGCACCTTCAACTTTCCTGAAAAACCCTAAACCCTAAACCCTAAACCCTAAACCCTAAACCCTAAACCCTAGGAGTGGATAATACAGCCCAAACCCTAAATGTCATATCACTTGCAGAAGCAGAAAGAGACAGACAACGCGGGGTTTTCCATCCATCTAACTGGAATTTAGGGTTTAGGGTTTAGGGTTTAGGGTTTAGGGTTTGAGGCTTACCAAGGAGAGGCCTGAGCCGTGCGAGACCCTCCGCTGAGACGAGCGGCTGCTGTTGCAGACCACAGCACAACAAACCCCTAAACCCTAAACCCTAAACCCTAAACCCTAAACCCTGAATATTGTGGGTAGTGATATGCGAGCACTTGCTGGGGTTTAGCAAGGAACTGTGGCTCCGCTCCGGGTCTAGGGTTTAGGGTTTAGGGTTACGTGGTTGTGGTGGGGGCCCCCGGGGGCCCCCTGGAGATCCTTGGGGG